AGAGCAATATATATACAGAGCAATATATATAAAGAGCAATATATATACAGAGCAATATATATACAGAGCAATATATACTGAGCAATATATATAAAGAGCAATATATATACAGAGCAATATATATACAGAGCAATATATACAGAGCAATATATATATATACAGAGCAATATATATACAGAGCAATATATATACAGAGCAATATATATAAAGAGCAATATATATACAGAGCAATATATATAAAGAGCAATATATACAGAGCAATATATACAGAGCAATATATATACAGAGCAATATATATAAAGAGCAATATATATACAGAGCAATATATATAAAGAGCAATATATATACTGAGCAATATATACATAGCAATATATATACAGAGCAATATATATACTGAGCAATATATACATAGCAATATATATACTGAGCAATATATATACAGAGCAATATATACATAGCAATATATATACAGAGCAATATATATACAGAGCAATATATACAGAGCAATATATATATACAGAGCAATATATACAGAGCAATATATATATATACAGAGCAATATATACAGAGCAATATATATATATACAGAGCAATATATATACAGAGCAATATATACAGAGCAATATATATACAGAGCAATATATATACAGAGCAATATATACAGAGCAATATATATACAGAGCAATATATACAGAGCAATATATACAGAGCAATATATATACAGAGCAATATATATACAGAGCAATATATATACAGAGCAATATATACAGAGCAATATATATACAGAGCAATATATATACAGAGCAATATATATACAGAGCAATATATACAGAGCAATATATATACAGAGCAATATATACAGAGCAATATATATATACAGCAATATATATACAGAGCAATATATATACAGAGCAATATATACAGAGCAATATATATATATACAGAGCAATATATATACAGAGCAATATATATACACAGCAATATATATACAGAGCAATATATATACAGAGCAATATATATACAGAGCAATATATATACAGAGCAATATATATAAAGAGCAATATATACTGAGCAATATATATAAAGAGCAATATATATACAGAGCAATATATATAAAGAGCAATATATATACAGAGCAATATATATAAAGAGCAATATATATACTGAGCAATATATACATAGCAATATATATAAAGAGCAATATATATACAGAGCAATATATATACAGAGCAATATATATAAAGAGCAATATATATACAGAGCAATATATACTGAGCAATATATATAAAGAGCAATATATATACAGAGCAATATATATACAGAGCAATATATACAGAGCAATATATATATATACAGAGCAATATATATACAGAGCAATATATATACACAGCAATATATATACAGAGCAATATATATACAGAGCAATATATATAAAGAGCAATATATATACAGAGCAATATATATAAAGAGCAATATATACTGAGCAATATATATAAAGAGCAATATATATACAGAGCAATATATATAAAGAGCAATATATATACAGAGCAATATATATAAAGAGCAATATATATACTGAGCAATATATACATAGCAATATATATAAAGAGCAATATATATACAGAGCAATATATATACAGAGCAATATATACAGAGCAATATATATACAGAGCAATATATATAAAGAGCAATATATATACAGAGCAATATATATACAGAGCAATATATACTGAGCAATATATATAAAGAGCAATATATATACAGAGCAATATATATACAGAGCAATATATACAGAGCAATATATATATATACAGAGCAATATATATACAGAGCAATATATATACAGAGCAATATATATAAAGAGCAATATATATACAGAGCAATATATATAAAGAGCAATATATACAGAGCAATATATACAGAGCAATATATATACAGAGCAATATATATAAAGAGCAATATATATACAGAGCAATATATATAAAGAGCAATATATATACTGAGCAATATATACATAGCAATATATATACAGAGCAATATATATACTGAGCAATATATACATAGCAATATATATACTGAGCAATATATATACAGAGCAATATATACATAGCAATATATATACAGAGCAATATATATACAGAGCAATATATACAGAGCAATATATATATACAGAGCAATATATACAGAGCAATATATATATATACAGAGCAATATATACAGAGCAATATATATATATACAGAGCAATATATATACAGAGCAATATATACAGAGCAATATATATACAGAGCAATATATATACAGAGCAATATATACAGAGCAATATATATACAGAGCAATATATACAGAGCAATATATACTGAGCAATATATATACAGAGCAATATATATACAGAGCAATATATATACAGAGCAATATATACAGAGCAATATATATACAGAGCAATATATATACAGAGCAATATATATACAGAGCAATATATACAGAGCAATATATATACAGAGCAATATATACAGAGCAATATATATATACAGAGCAATATATACAGAGCAATATATATACAGAGCAATATATATACAGAGCAATATATACAGAGCAATATATATACAGAGCAATATATACAGAGCAATATATATACAGAGCAATATATACAGAGCAATATATATATACAGAGCAATATATACAGAGCAATATATATACAGAGCAATATATATACAGAGCAATATATACTGAGCAATATATATACAGAGCAATATATACAGAGCAATATATATACAGAGCAATATATACAGAGCAATATATATACAGAGCAATATATACTGAGCAATATATATACAGAGCAATATATACAGAGCAATATATACAGAGCAAAATTGACCCAGTATGGTAGATAGTTGAAGATGGGGCATTTATGTGCAGGCAGGAGTCACCATAGGTCCATGGGTGTCACTTGCAGGTTTGAGGTTCTCGCGAAATATCTTGATAATTTAGAAAACAAAATTACTCCAAAAAACAGAAAAAACCTATTCAAAAAAACAAACCAAAAAATAAATTACTCAGAAAAACCGGAGTTTATTTTTTATTTTTTTTCAAGTGAATGCTAAAATCTCAAAATTTGGTAAAGACATACTGTAGGAGAGTATCTAACAGTACAACATTAAAAATTTTAGAGCACATGAAAAATAACATTTTTATTAATGGTGAAAGTCAGAACGTTGTCTAAAATTGTCTTTATTAAATGTTTCCCTTATGTTTTGTTTGTTTGTTTGTTTAACACAAAAAACAGACACAAAACACATCTGGTCATCTATTTCATGAGGCAGGTGTGTAGGAGTGGGATACATATACACAAAGTGGCCACCATAAATAAATAAAAACCTTTATGTTAAATATAACAGATTCACAAAAAGCTTCAGGTATAAAACTTTAATTATACACAGGGTCCCAATCAGAAGCAGGTCTCTTTTACTAGCCTGGTAGTGCTTTTAAAATAATGTTTTTATTGTTTTGGGCAGGGCAAACAATTGGATGACAATATCCGAAGCATATGTATATCAATATATTCATATATGTTTAAATTAACAATTTGATAGTAGGTTGTGGGTAAGAAATAAAAGCCCGAGATATTAACTGAAGTTCTACAGTATTGTAATTTGAATTTAGTGTTTATAGTCTCTTATTTTATTATATTTATTTGATATATCAGGTCAATTGGGACAGCATTAGAAGAGTTTAACCTACACAGACAACTTTTAAGTAGACTTTTAACGGTTTATGAATGGACTTTACATATCTTGCTAAGCTAATTGATGCCAACCCCCCACATTGTGTGTACAGTAAAGGCCTTATAAATTCATAAAATTATCCCAATAATTTTCCCTGACAATGATTAACAATAAAGATTAATCTGAATGTTGTTTAGTGTGTTAGTGACTCCACATAAAGAAACTATTCTCTCTTATTCTTGATGACTTTATGAGATATCTCGTTAGATATTATAAAATAATTCTTTACTTAAGTGTTTAAAGCAATTTTTATTCATATTTTCATTTATTTGTATTTAATATTTTCTTTTATTTTCATTATTACCTTCCAGCATGTTTATAAATGATCTTAATAACTTTATATCTTCAATCTCTGTCCAGATGACAAACAGCCTCTGTGCACTATCCCAAGTAAACACATGAAAACATGAAAAGTATGAATTAATAACACAACTATGCAATATTATGTAAGAATTATTAGATTATAATTCATAATAATTCTGATTACAATTTGGAAATGTGTTGGAAATGTAGATCTAACACACACAAACACAAAGGATAAATAAATGAGTCCTGATGTAAAATGTGTCAGCAGAGGAGGGATATAAAAAGGGGGGAAGGAGGAGCAGAGGAGGAGGTGGAGAGAATAAAAACAAAGGGTGGGTGGGTCGAGTGTTTACCGGTGAAAGAATGAGGTGAGACAGACATTAGGTGCAGATCAGCAGAGCACAACAACAGCAGCTCTGAATTCATGACATGGCAACAAAAATCATCTACTTCACAGTGAACGGGAGACCGGAGCGGGCCGAGTTCCCCCTGGACTGCCCGGCCCAGGATGTGAAAGGTAGGAGCTGAACATCTGTAATATGATCTATATGTAACATATATAATATATATATTCTCCTGTGTTTACAAATATGTTACACTGACTGAAAGGAGGATAAATGTGCTGTTACAGACTGTTAACCTGAGCTGCTTTAATAGAGTTCACAGCTGTTTTAAGATCAGTTGTTATACCAGCAGATTAAATTAACTTTTGGAGGCTGTCTGAGCTGCAGGCGGCGATGCAGCTGCCACTGACAGCTCCTCACTCGGCTTCACGTGTTCTTCACGCTTTGTTTTGAGTGTCGAGGAAGGAAAAAGAAAACCTTACTGAAGTAACTCTTAATAAAATCTCAATAAAAGAAGCAGTAATAACTTTTTAATAACTTAAATGTGTGCTGTATTTTAAGTGTTTAGATCCAGTTAAGTAATTTAAGTGGAAACATTTGTATAAAGAAGCTCCATTAAAAAATACTTTATTCAGATAAATAACACATTTTAAATAATGTTGCATTTGAGTAAGATATACTTACTGGTTTTAAGTTCAATTAACTGAATGAAATTGGTTTAATTAACTTAATTTACTTCTTAATAATAAATAATAAAATCAGACAACCAGTTTCCTTAAAATAATTCATAAATATTGGTAATTAATTAATAAATGCTTAATAACTTGTTGATCCACATTAATGAAAGAGATTGTTAACAACCTGGCAACTCAAAATATGTTCATATTACTGGTTTAATTATACTAATGGTGTATTGATCTATAGATGATCGTTATGATTTCATTCAGGGGCGGATCTAGAGTAAATATTCATGGGGTGGCAGAAATATATGCTGATTTAATCAATCACATATGTTGATATATGCTTTAAAAAGCACCCAAATTACGATATTTTAACTCAAAAACATTGTTGATATCGGAAATTTTAAGTCACACAAACTCAATTTGAAAGCAGCTTTTACTAGTAAACATTCCTGAGTGCTTTAATACGTGTTTTGTTTTCACAATACAAATAAAAATTACAAAATTATGTCAGAATTACTTTAAATAACTAATTACTATTAAAAAACTGAGTTAGTTTTACTTAAAAATTTTCAATGTAATCAGTTGAAATACGAGTTAAATGAACTTATCTGGCTTTACAGTGATTAAATACAAGTTGACTTCATAACATTATAATTTTAGTTTTTATTTAGTTTATTAATCATTATATACCCCAAATAACTTAACTTAACTTAACCAGAGTTACCTTAATAATAAATACTTGAGTTACTTGAACTCAAATCAAATCTTCTAATGCTTGAATTGTTTGAGTGGATTCACTAGCTTTTTCCAGAGCTTTCAACCCATGGTCTTCCTCAGCAGTTGAGGTTTTGCTCGATATAAAAACTTCCTCCTTTTTTCCAGATCTGTTCCGCTCTGCGGCCGAGGCGGGACCCCACGACATCCTGAAGCTCTACAACCCCAAAGGCAGCATCATCAACATCTCCCCGAATCTGGAGCCCAACAGCCCGAACTCCTGCTACAAGCTTGAGGTTGTGGCCGCCGACTGCAACAGTGAGCCGTTAGGTATCTTTAAGATAGCAAACATCGGGGCTCGCGGCGCTCGTCTCTACGTAAAGGAAACGCTGACAGTCGTCTTCTTTTCTCGCTGTAATTTCAGGTGCGGAGCTTGCCGGTGCACTCGGATTTGACCTCTCATCCATGGAGAAAAGGTAGGTAGGATGAGCCGAAACAGGGGTTATTACTTAATGATATTATAATCTGTATAATGAATAACGATGGGGGGGATGTTAGGCTGCAGGGTCTGGAGAAGAAGATCTTGTTCGAGGCCAGTGAGACTCCTGCAGTCGTGTATGAGATGAAGAAACAGGTGGATTCGTTCCGGGAGAAACTAGAGGTACGGACAAGGGTTTTAAAGCTGCTTGTGAAATATTAAGCGAGAATGTAGCATCATCATCTGCATATAGGGAGAGAAATGTTACTTATCTAAGCCAGCTTAGCTAAGCTTATCTTTTGACCATCTTCAAAATGTGTCATAATGTCTTTTCAGCATAGTTTAGCCTAGCATGTAGCATATCTAAGTACAGGAAAGGAGGAAGTTGACGGAAGCTTTCTCAACTGTTATTGGAAAATGGTTGATATATATTAGCTAATTATCTAGTGTTTGTTTCTGTAGTAAAATAAGGAAATATATCTGTGTCTTTTAAAAAAATGCTCCTGGTGCCTTTATTTGAGATTTGTAAGATTATTAATGTTAGATTAAGGTACAAAGTCTTAAATTCAGCTCAATAAAGTGATCAAAATACTTATTTTCATTGCTTGTAATAAACACAACTTGCTTATGTTTTTATAGTTTTAAGGCCCCAATACAAGAAAATTTGATTATATTTAAGAATATTTGTCTTGTTTCCAGTCAGTAATAATAATAATATGATGATAGATAATTTGTGGCGTATTTTGGAGGATTAATCTTCTTAATTTTCCAGAGCGTGGAGCATCTGAGCTGGCTGGGATTGTTTAAAGACCTGTCGGAGGGAACGCACAAACCCTCGCCGTTCTACCACAAGAGAACACTGCATAAAACCAGGAAGGAGTGTGAGCATGTGCGGGAAAAGTTCCTCCAAATGAGGCACGTTCACACACCCAAAACACACTGACCACCGCCCTCCATATAGTCTGAACATCTGGTTAATGAACTGTCCACCTTTGCAGCTCCCTGGAGGTATCAGACGAAGTGAGGCAGTACTTAAAGACCCCAACCTTCGATAACTGGTAAGTTGTAAAACACTCGGTGCACCTGTTTCCACGCCGTCGTGTCCCCGAAAACAAGCACCTCTGAAGAGCCATGGTCATCTTTTTTCTTCCCATAGACACACTCATCTCAATATGAATGGGGCCCCCGCTTGAGTTCTCGTGGATCAAAAGAAGGTTTTTTCATGAAAGGCTTAATCAAAACAGCATGTTTGAAGTGGGCTTTACGGGGAGGAAGCTGCACACCGCATTCATCATCTCATTTGTTCAAAAGCTTTTAGTAACGAAGGTGGATGGACGCGTAGCTTCGGGGATCATTTAATGACATTAAATAACAGGATTCCTTTGAAAACTCTGATGAAAAATGTGCTTTTCTTTTGCTTCCTGTTGTGTTTAACAGATAAAAAGGTTTTTGTTGCTTTCAAAATCCCATTAAGTCTGTTTTTTCAACACTTTCTGACCTCGCTTTGTTGTTTCTGGCGCTCAAAGAAGTTCACACTGAGGACATAAAGCTTTGAAACGTATCTCACGAATGCACAGTTTAACCGAAATCGCTAAGGATCTCTTTCACCTCTTGTTTCAGCTACTAAAAAGAAATAATTCCAGCTGCAATATCCATTTTAAACAAAGCCAAATAGACTCTCGCTACGTTTTAATGCTCCTGCTCTTATTATGGCCTTTATTAAAGCTTATTGAGGCCAACAACATGCTCCAAAACTCACAAAGAGCTGCACAAAATCTGTCTTTTGCGTCATATGAGGTCTCACAGAGGCCATTTTGGATTTAGTGGTCATTTCACTGGCGATTTGCAGACGTTGTTTTTGTTGCCAGATTTCAATGTTTTGCCATGAAAAGTTTCCTCCACGATTATAAAAATGAATCCAAGAATGTGATTGGAAATCATTACAAAAGTAATGTTAGTAACTTATTAGTTTTGGGGGGAGTAACTGAAATGTATTAGTAATTAGTTACACTACTAATTACTGGGGAAGTAAATATTATTACTTGTAATGAGTCACTGATTAGGATCTTTGTTGTTCTTTTGTCCATAAATTTTACACTGAAAAATATAAATTAATATAAAATGTGGTTTATCAAACATTTACATTTACATTTTTTAAAATTTAACTTATTATAGTATAATTTCTTCCTTCCTGTACTTCTTGCAGTACTTCAAAGCTCCACTAGGGGGTCACTTATCCCCACTTGAGAAAACTAATCTCAACTTTAAAAAAAAGCTTTCTAAGTAATGCTTGAGTATCGCAATTTATGGGGACTATTTTCAGCAGCGTATTAATACACAGGTTGTTTATTTATTACTGTATTGTGTGTGTGTGTGTGTGTGTGTGTGTGTGTGTGTGTGTGTGTGTGTGTGTGTGTGCGCGCAGGCAGTGGGAGGACGCAGAGATCATGGTGCTACTGCAGGTGATGTACACAGATTTAGATTTCATAGCAATGTTCAACATCGAGCCTGAAGTCCTGCAACAGTTCCTGTTCGAGGTCTACCGACGATACAACAACATCCCTTTCCACAACTTCAAACACTGCTTCTGTGTCACCCAGATGGTGAGTGTGTGTGTGTGTGTGTGTGTGTGTGTGTGAGAGAGAGAGTGTGTTTTAAAGTTGTATTGTGGTATTTCATCAGGGCAAATCAGGGAGAGCCTAACTGTGCCTGTAATCATGAGATTGTGGACTTATGCCGCCACCTTGATGGCTAATTGGTCAAGGACATCTGGCTCTGAGGGTCGAGAGGACTCCAATCAGCCTGATCCCCGACTATGAGCTGATTAGCCACTTACGATCTTTATGATATTACAGCTAACGTATTATTAAGAGACTAAAAATACGTAGAATTTAAAAGAGACACCCTCAAAATTGAGCTGGTTTTGACTCCAGAATCCAGAACCAGATCCGGTATCTTGGACACTGATGGACAAACAGCAGAGATTTAAAGTTGATTCTGTTGATTGAGCAGCTAAAGAGAGTTTGTGGAGACCAAAACAGAGCTAAAATCCCTCAGGATGTCAGCCTTAAACAACTTTATAAGGTGATAATATGTTAATGGTGTGTTTATGTTCGGTTCCACTGCCCCCTGGTGGACAGAAACATCAATTAATCAATTAATGCAGCTTTAATCTCTAGATTTTGCTTTAATTTCTATAGTTATTTACCTACAAAATGCCCAATAAAATATCCTAATTTCATTTTAAGGTTCATTACTATACTGCTGGATTGCATGATGGGTATTTTCAAGACGTTTTCATGTAATTTACTGTATATTTAGAAATTAATTACTTTAATTGTAGTGTAGAATACTGTGAAACTTACTGTAAAATACATGTACAGTGAAGCTACTGTAGAGGGGCAGTAAACAGCCTAACAGTGTCTCTTTACCTCGGGGCAGATGTACGGGTTGATCTGGCTGACCGACCTGAGGAGTAAGATTGACAGCGTCGACCTGCTGATCATGTTGACCTCCGCCGTCTGCCACGACCTCGACCACACGGGATACAACAACGCCTATCAGGTAGATGAAGTTCTTTACATAGAGACGCCGTTTCTATCATTTATTAAACTGACTCAGTGACATATTTTATGTATATTTCATATTAAATTCAGAGCTGTACATTAAACACAAATAATAATAATGAACTCAGGAAGTTTGTGTAAAACCAGAGATCTGGATGAATTTTGAGCAGATTATTTCCTGTTTAAGGAACTTTTAATTTTCTGTCTGTATTATGTATTTTTTTAATAGTTTTTAACAATCATACAGACTTAATAGTCTTATTTTTTGACAAATTCAGTGTTTTCTTGTCCATTGTTCTATTAGACAAGCATGTTTTTTTTAAGTTCACTTGCCTTTAAATCAGTAAGGACTTGCGACCCCCTCATAAAGTTTTGGTGACCCCTAGTGGGGGAACCACTTTGCTAATACCTGTTTACCTTTTATACAGCTGATGATAAACCCTCATAGTGTTTACAGTCTGTTGTATTCAACCTATTATTAAATGATATTAATCTCATCTGAATTTAAAATCAATGAATTCTCAAGTTTAATATAAATATAACATTGAAGTTTTTATTCTGTTTAGTCCCTCAAGGCTACAAGCTTGGGTGACCAGATCCCAAAGACTATGTTTGTGTGGGACAATGTGAGAGATAGCGATAGTCTGCACAACCATAAAACCAAACCACAGATATTAGAAAAGTCCTGCAGGAGCCGATCATATGTGGTATAAAAGGGGTACAAATCCTAAAGTGGGATACAGAACTGCTTCACTATCATCTGTATTTAACTCCTTCTTTCAGATCAATGCTCGGACTGAACTCGCTCTCCGCTACAACGACATCTCTCCGCTGGAGAACCACCACTGTGCCGTGGCCTTTGAGATACTGGAGAAGGTAAAAGAGGATTTCTGATCAGGGTTTTTATCTATTTAAACGGGAGTTAATCGGCACAAACCGACCATTTTCTGTTCTGTAGACAGAGAGCAACATCTTCAGGAATCTGTCCATGGATCAGTACAAACGGATACGAGAAGGGATCATCAAGTGAGATCTAACTCTTCTCTCAGCTCGCTCGTTATCTGGTGTTATTTAGCCGTTTTTTAAATGTATGTCTGTTTTAATCACAGATGCATTCTGGCCACTGACATGACGAGGCACAACGACATCCTCAACAAGTTCAAGTCCATCCTGCCGGCCTTTGACTTCACCAACAAGGACCACAGAGACGTGGTAAGAGCAGTGTTTGACTCGGAGGTACTGTACAATAAATATACTATCAGAACATTTAAATTCATACAGCGAATACTGAGCCTCGGAGAGTTCAGGTTGTAATGTTTTTAAGCTTGCTTCCTCGTATTTACTCCAGACAATATTCTCTCCATAAAATATGATCCAGTTTCATCCAAATGACCGATAAAGTTGAGTGTCTGTACATTAATCAGTGAGCTCCGCTGGCTAGCCATGCTGTAAACTATCTAAGGTAAGATAAGATGTTCCTTTATTGATCTCCCGCAGGAGAAATTCAGATCAGACACAGCAGCAAAGGGGAATGTAGTGCAAAATGTACGGAAGTGTAAAAATAAAGAATCAGAAAATAAGAATATTATGAAATATAATAGAAAAATAAAAGACTATAATGAAAAATATAAACACTTAATGCAATAAAATTAAGCAGCGTATAACTAAAAAACCAAACTGTACATTGGCAATTTAAAGCTTAACTAGCTAATGAATCTTATCGTGTAACATTTTGTTTTACAGGAAAACAAAATTATTGGATTTTGATATTAAAATACAAAGAAACTGAGTTTTTGTAAAATGTTAAATAGGAAAACAATATAAAAATGCTGTTTTTAATTTCACCTGGACTTTAGGTGTTATATTTAAAGATACCAACAGCTGGAAGCATTCAAATATAATAACTTTTCTCTAGCTGATGTGTGAAACTGTAAATGACCTGAGGGACCTGGTTCATCATATACTGCAAATACAAGCGCATGTTAGACAAACGCAGAACTTAAAAGACGAGCAGAAGAATTTAAAAATACGAAAACATGAGTGACAAGTGTCCTTTCATTGAATTTGGACTTTTTCTCCCGTAATAATCTGATAATTTGAGTTGTTCCTGTCGTTGTTGTGCAGCTGATGATGATTCTGATCAAAGTGAGCGATATATCCAACGAGGCGCGACCCATGGAGGTGGCCGAGCCCTGGTTGGACTGTCTCCTGCAGGAATTCTACAACCAGGTGACTGACAGACATTTTTAATAACTTTCCCAGTTTTTTCCTTTCAAACGTTCTGACCTTCGTGTCGTCTGTCTGTCCCTCAGAGCGACGTGGAGAAGCTGGAGGGCCTCCCGGTCACCCCCTTCATGGACCGGGACAAAGTAACCAAACCGTCATCTCAAACAGGCTTCATCAGATTTGTCCTCCTGCCTCTCTTCATCGAGCTGGCCAACCTCTTCCCCTGCTTGGAGGTAAGTTAAAGAAAGACAATGTTGTTTTCATCATGTTTTTAAGGAATAAAATCTGCTATAAATCAGGCTGTGAAAGATACATGAACAAAGATCTATGTACAAACCTTCAGAACATAAAGAGGAATAAAACTGGAAGGTTTACTGAAGTGGAGATTTCTGGCTCCGAATGTGAGAAAAACTCGTTTTGGGAAAACTGCCTTTTCTGGTGAAATTCAGGTTAATACAAGTGAATAGGGTAAAATATTTAACTAACAGATATCAGCATGAAATATCCCCAGTTGATTACTCACTTACTGTGTAATGCTCACTAAACCGACAAAATGTAGCAAAATAAACAGCTAAATGGGTTTTTGGGGCGTTTTCTTTCCTCTAAACGTGTAAAGAAGAAATGTTATAGAAGCAAAATGGCAGAAAGATTCACAAACATCCAGCAAATGTACAAACTGTACGAGATAGTCTGTGAAACGTAGGGAATCAGTCACTACATCCGTGGTGAAGGTTGAAGGGACGTGAGCTCTCTCTCTCTCTTGGGTTGGACTTTAATTCATTCTTCATTCACTCTGCAGCAACACATTATCGACCCGGTGCGGAAGGCTCTCGATTACTACACCGAGATGGAGAAAGCGCTGGAGAGGGAGAAACAGAACCGGGCTCAGAGCGAGAGCACGGCCAAGAGTAAGGAGGCCGCCGACGGCCACGCGGAGGCCGGACCCGAAGCCTCGAAACCGGACACACAGTGAACCACGGTGGACGTCGAAGAACTCAACTATCTCAGATTGTATAACGTAAAACTTCAATTAAAAGCCCCGGGCTTTTATTAAAGTTACCACAATAAAACAGAGAAAGAGTTTTAAACCATTCAAGACTTTACTTGTCGTACATTTAAAAGTGAGCAGTGGAGGTTTATGAAGTAAATTTAGAACAAAGTTTGGAACATTTCTGAGTGTTAAATTAATTAATGTGATTTTTTAAAGTGAGTTGCAACTAAGTAATTATTCTATTAGCCGCAACATTTAATACTATAAAAAAAATTCTTCTGGTAAACTGGGGTGCCAAAAACTACAACTAACAAGTAAAAATACAGTAAAATAGTAATTTTCTATAATTAAAATACAGTTTTTAGCTTTAATTTGACATTTTTAATGTTTAATTAAAGATATTTGTACATGTACAAACAATGAAATGAGCTATAAATACATATCTATAATATATAAAATTTACAGAAAAGTGCTGTTATTATTTGATTTTTTCTTATTTTAAAAGTTATAGAACAGTAATAAAAGTCATTATTTGTGAAATTACAGTAATTATTAATGTTTTCACTGATAAAAACTGTATTTGGACAGTTTATCAATGCTTATACACTGATAAACAACATTTATTCAACATTATTAATGCAAAAACTTCCCTAATTATACAAGATATCTGTTAATTAAGAAACAAATCCATGTAAAATTACACAACAAATACTTAATACTCTTTTACTGCTCATTAATTTTACATAATTTTGGAAATGTTTTAATAGTATTAAAATTGTATTTAACAGTTTAATCTATTAAATTAACAGTAAATATCTGCAAAATTATTTACAGATTTTTAACGTTATTTGACATTTGACATGTAAATTCAGTCTATTTTTGTAATTGTATTAATATTTTCATATATTTAAAAAATACTGAAAAAATCTGTAAAATATACAGGAAAAAACACATAAAATTACAGATTTATATTACAGTATAGACTTCAATATATATTAATAATAAGAAATAACAATAAATAATAAAGCCTTCTGCCTCCAATAGGGACTTTTAATTGAAGTTTTACTGCAACTTTATGTGGATGTATTTGATTAATCTAAATGTGATTTATTCAGTGGGCACTATGAGCACAAGTACTGTTTGCTGTTCAAAGCAGCTTCTGTTGTAGTTTTTGGTGATTTCAATATTAAATATAATGAAATAAGATGATTTTACTGGAGAGTTTAATACAAATTCTCGACTCAAATATATTTTAAAAGCATATTTCAGAACAAATTAGATGCCTGAATTATATTTTGTGACAGGACCAATCTTTTTATATAACAGAAGAAATGATTCATGAATAATAATATATATAATTGTACTTTTTAGCACATCTAAGGTACTGCATTACTGTGTTTCTGAGGTGGTGCAGACAAAATTATGTTTCTTATGAAATGTCCAGTGTTTGTTTGTTTTGGAAGAAATAAACTGTGTGTAATGAAACTGGGGTTGGTTGTAATTCATGTAAGTACAATCAGAGAAATGTACTTTAAGTTTAATGTCTCCTGTGACTGTGATTAAGAGTTTGACAGCAGAGGGCGACATTTATTATTATTTTATCAACAGGAGAGTTCAGCTCGTTCCTCTTTAATGTGAACCCGATCTTATAAAACCTGATTTAAGTAATTAAAGATATTTGATTTGAGTGGAAGTGACTCAAGTATTTATTGTTGAGGTAACTTGTGTGAATTAAGTTAAATGGACCAATTTAATTCAGTTAATATTCAGCATTTATCTGAATAAAGTCACTTAAATGCATCTTTATACAAATGTTACCGCTCACGTTGAATTTACTCTTCCACTAAAGCAAATTATTACATTACCTGTAAAACAATTTATAATTAATTGATCAAAATGGTAGCAAATACATTTTCTGTGGGGTTTTTTTATGTGACAAATGAATTAATTGAATGCATACTAGTTCATTTGGTGATTAATACTGATCTTAATCCTAATCCTGAGCTATACAGCATTATAATGCTTATATTTCTCTAATTATATAAAGTCTACTTCAAGAAAATAATACAGTGGAACACAACAATACTTGACACAATACGTTTGTAATTTTTGGTTTATAACACTCTTTTCTCTTTGCATGAATCTCCGTCTTCTGGGAAATAAAGGACACATTTAATGAGTCTGTAACATCTTCACAGGAGAAATTACAACAAAGAAGAGATGATCAATTCCCCATCGTAACATCATAAAGTCTTTAAAATCCACCTGGCAAAGGAAATGTTTCTGCTGTTGACTCACTCGCTTTCCGTCATTCCTTTATAAAGCCCTTTGTTGTTATACTTCCATCCTGTGTGTGTGACTCAGTGGACATAAAGACACTGAAGATGACTCATAATGGACGTACAAAATGTATTTACTCCAGCAGGGCGGCCGACCTTTGTAATCCTCGGACCCAATTACTGGAATAAAGCCGATCTGGGGACTATACTGTTTAAAGGAAATGGTGTCCTCTTTGTACAATGCAATGTATTATACCTTCTCCTCTGAAAATCCCTTTAATAACCACAAAACCTTTGGAAATGTTACATAGAACACGATTAATGAAGGTCCTTCATGCAGTTTTATGAGCATCTTTAAGGTCCAGTGTGCGGGATAAACTCCTTAAATTCACTCTAAAAATAAAAACAGTGACACAGATAAAGTCAGAAAAAGAGAGAGTGGCAGCAGAAGTTACAAATGAGCTTCGTAGAACCTGTGAAAGGAAGGTTTCTCATGTGTTAGGAGCGTTTTTATTGATGAGGAAGCACCGGACGGCTGGCAGCAGGTGACTCACTGGTAATGCAGCTACCTGGCAGGTAGAGACAGGTGCAGACAAAGCAAAAGAAAGGAGGAGCAGGAGGAGCAGGAGGTGCCAGGTAACAAGGCTCTGGGAGTTTTTAGACATTACTTAAAGAGCTACTCCACCTTAAAACGTGTCTGTTGAGTTGTGAACTGAATGATATGACGGCACTGTGATGAAACACATGAGTAATACAGACTTCTGTTACACCTTGAACCAAGACTGGATCTGGTTTTGATTGGACTTAAAATATGCTTGAGTTTAAGATGAGTTTGAGATTTTAATGAGAAAATAGTGAGAAACTTTCTCAAGATTTTGACTTATTATCTTAAAATAATGACTTAATATCTCAAAATAATGACTTAATTGTTAAGATAATGACTTAATATCTCAAAATATTGACTTAATATCTGAAATAATTACATATTATCTTAAAATAATGATGCATTTTCTAACATTGACAGAAATGTGCTTCTATAAGATGTTCCAGTGTATCTTCTGCTAAAGGAGATTTTAAAAAAACAAACATCGAAGCACCTTTCGTTGACATTTAGAGAACTCATTCAACTGACAGTAAACTGTCTTCAAGGCTGATTAAAATGTGGTCCCTGTAGTCCTCCACATCATAATGAAGACTTGTTGTAGTCCTCCTGGGGGAGATATCTGAATGAGGATGATGGTTTGGTAATTTTTTCCTCCATAATGAGATCAGCTAAGAACAATTATTTGCTCATTTAGTGTGAAGCTGAGCTGAATAGCTGCTTTAGAGCCTCTCTCAGTGTGTCTCAGTGTGTGAATACGTCCATTTATGAGGCTTTTTAATGAGTCTCCACTGACACTTCAGATGAATCTCAATGAGAAACTCAGTTCATAAAGGAGCAGTGTGCAGGATTTAGTGGCACCTAGTGGCAGATTGCAAAACCCTCACTTCACCCTCCCTCTTCCGAGTAATATAATGGATCTAACCCGAGTGCACTGTAAAAACAATACTGTGAAATAACAGAAGATAATTGGCAATTAAAAATAAATAAAGTTTTTAGCTTTAATTTTGACATAAAATCTAAGGTGAACACTGCTATAATGCAAATAATCAGACTTAAATTTACAGAAGAGTGGTTATTATTTGATTTTTTTTATTTTAATCTGAATTTTAAAAGTTAAAGAATTGTAATAAAAGTCATTATCTGTGAAATTACAGTAATTTTTGCTGATACCAATGCTTATACACTGATAATAAACATTTATTCAATGTTTTTGTGGTGGAAACGTCCATAATTATACAAGATATCTGTCAATTAACAAACAAATCCATGAAACATTACAAAACAAAAACAAGAAGATGTAATTGTCACCAATTTAACATAATTTTAGAAATGTTTTAACAGTATTAAACTTAAATTTAACATTTAAATCTGATAAATAAACAATAAATATGTAATTGTTGCTTATATTTATGTTATTATTGTGGAAAATCCAATAAATCCTTGTTTAAAAAGGCTTTTATTGTGAAAAATTTGCAGGAATATGATGCAGAAAACAAACAAATGAGCTGTTTTATCTACAGATGCAGCAGGTCCCCTTCTTTAGAGGCCGCCATGTTGAACCGCCATCTTTCTACGGTGGCCCAGAGCGGACAAACACTGGATCTACATAGGGCCTTTCTCTATTTTCTTGCCGTATTTCACATCCACCATAGTTTCTCCTTCGCACTTGGAAGGCGATCTGCGTTTTAATCTGCAACTAGATGCCACTAAATCCTTCACACTGGTCCTTTAATGCTCTAATTAATATAATAAACTAAATAATAAAAATAATAATAATATAATATAAACTTTAGTTTTTAGCTGCCCATGCTAGCTAACTGTGCTGTTTGGTTTAATATCCAAACTGAAAACAGAACTTCTTCCATCTTTCTGTTCTGGTTCTCCCAGTAAACAGCAGCTGGTCACATTAAAACACTCTCATGAAGCATTTCTTCTTTCATCTTCCAGCTTTCAGCCAGCAGCTCTCAGAACTAATGTTTGTACCTTATCTACAACATAAAAGAAAATACACTTTCTCTCCTTCTCTATTAATATTATATTTATATAATAAATATTTATATAATATATAGAGGCCAACCCACAGATAATTAACACTAACTCTGCAGTTTATTTCAGCTCTATGGAGCATTTTAGTGTCTTTTAGCTCATTGTTTTGGTTTTCTGGCTCGTGAACTCCAGTTAAGGTCGGTTGACACTAACTTTACGATGTGAGCGTATTTATGTGAGATGTTTTCAGTTTGTTCAGCTCACAAGTTGCTAAGTCGCTTAATGAAGCTTTAAATGAGCTTTTACTGTAAAATCGAATTAATTAAAGGAGCTGTGGCGGTTTCTGTTGTCTGCGTCCCACCTGGCTTCTACTGAAGATATAAAAACAACTTATAAATATATAGGCTCATTTGAAGCAACAAAATACCATTAGAAATAGATTTATTATAATCATTATTATTGTTGTTGTTATTTATACATATATAGTAGAAGTCTTATTTATTTTATTATATTAATATTATTAGTAGTAGTAATCTAGAAGTAATATATAATAATAGTAATCGTGCATGTGATGCTGCCAAACTAACAAGGAGAAGTATTATTATTATTAATATTAGTTAGTAGTAATACATTAATATATAATATAATAGAGGTGATGTTTCCTTGATGTTTATTTATTATGATGATTATTATTATTATTATTATTAATATTATATTAATATTAGTTAGTAGTAATATATAATCTTTAATATATAATCTAATAGAGGTGATGTTTCCTTTAAGGGGCGGTGATGCTGATTATTATTATTATTATAATATTATTATTATTATATTAATATTAGTTAGTAGTAATAGTAATATATAATCTATAATCTATAATCTATAATCTATAATCTATAATCTAATAGAGGTGATGTTTCCTTTAAGGGGCGGGGATACTGATTATTATTATTATTATATTATTATTATTATTATATTAATATTAGTTAGTAGTAATATATAATATATAATCTATAATATATAATCTATAATCTAATAGAGGTGATGTTTCCTTTAAGGGGCGGTGACGCTGATTATTATTATTATTATAATATTATTATTATTATATTAATATTAGTTAGTAGTAATATATAATATATAATCTATAATCTATAATATATAATATATAATATATAATCTATAATCTATAATCTAATAGAGGTGATGTTTCCTTTAAGGGGCGGTGACGCTGATTATTATTATTATTATTATTAATATTATATTAATATTAGTTAGTAGTAATATATAATCTATAATCTATAATATATAATCTATAATCTATAATCTATAATCTAATAGAGGTGATGTTTCCTTTAAGGGGCGGTGACGCTGATTATTATTATTATTATAATATTATTATTATTATATTAATATTAGTTAGTAGTAATCTATAATCTATAATATATAATCTATAATCTATAATATATAATCTATAATCTATAATCTATAATCTATAATCTAATAGAGGTGATGTTTCCTTTAAGGGGCGGTGACGCTGCCAAACAAGGAACCAACGTAATTTCCCAAATCTTTATTCCCATTTTGAGGAAGCGTCCGGTTGAGACTTGTTGTGTGTTGCAACGTTACAGACCGACAGACCGACAGACAGACCGACAGACAGACAGACAGACAGACAGACAGATAATGGACAGCAACCTGTTCGGGGACTCGCACTCAGTGAAATGAGGCCTTCAGGATGCTTCTGATCGTCTTCTGCGTCCATCTCATCGTCCCAGGTACTTTAATGTTAGCCGTTAGCCGTTAGCCGTTAGCTCCGCTTGTTAGCTGTTTGTGCTATTGAGCACACACACACACACACACACACACACACACACACACACACACACACACACACACACAGGCCTCTAACATCAGGGTCTGGTGTTATGGAAAGGGAGTTTTAGAGCTCGCAGGCCAGACTCCATTTAAAAAACTCTCAATTTAAAGTTTCTATCACGCAGAGTTGAGTTTAATGTCACTTGTTATATTATCTAATGCTGTTATTGATTAATGTAAGGCACTGTGGTAATATCGGCGCGACTGACTCCATCAAACCAGACCGCATTTAAAAATGAACGTTTTAAAGTTTCTTTCATGGAGGGTTGAGTTGAATATTACATAGAAACGGATCTAATGTTATAAGTAACTCATTTAAGGTATTGTAGTGAAATCGGCTTAAGTTACTCCATTTTAAAACCTCACAATTTAAACACACACACACACAGGGCTCTACCATTAGTTATAAACGAAACAATCTCAGTTATTACATGGATGACCATAATTTCCCTTCGGGGATAAATAAAGTAGTCTATCTATCTTTAACCTAACCAGACTCCATTTAAAAACTCACTTTTAAGTTTCTTTCATTCATGGTTGAGTTGAATATCACATAGAAACTGTTATAATGCTATAATTAATCAATAAAAGGCATTGTGGAAAAATCGGCATCAGTTACTCCATCAAACAACACTTCATTCAGTTTAATTCAGTTTAATTTGTATAGTGCCAAATCATAACAGACATCTCAGGACGCTTTGCATAGAGAGCAGTTCCCACACTGAAGCCAGACTCCATTTAAAAACTCACACTTTAAAGTTTCCTTCCTGCATAGTTGAGTTGAATATCACATAGTTCATGATCTGATGCAATATTTTACCCATGTCAAGCACAAATGAACAAATAACACTAAGTATTTTTGGCTGGTCATTACATTTCCCCCCACAACTGTAGCCCTTGTTGGTGGAAGTTAACTGTATTAGTGTTTGTATTTAACTGTATTTAACTCTGCTGCAAAATATTCAGATTTTATTGAAGAAGTGTTGCACTGTTTCTTTCTTTCTGTTAAGTTTTATCATCAGAAACATCACTTCTGACTGGCAGCTTACAGGAAACAGACGATTGATCTTCTAGTTTCAATCTGTTGCATAAAACAGATAAGAGTTGTTTAGCTGTGTCTAATCAGTGCCAAAAAAGTTCCCTAAAGCTTCACTGAGGAGCTTAAATCAAACCTGCATTACATCTTTAGTGTCAGAAGATGATAAAGTGGGCTGGAAATTATGGTTAAACCCGTAAACGTATGCATCCAAACAACATTGGTGATGGTTAAAAAGAACAAGGTCAGATTTAATCAGCACAGTTGCAGGAAATTTGCACATTTTCTCATCCGCTCATCTGTCCCAGTGCTGTCTGAGACGCCGCCACTGCCGCCGCCACAGAACGTCAGCACCAATAATGGGCTCCTGACATGGACTCCTGCCGGCGAGGAGAGGGACGTCACCTACACCGTTCAGTACAAATGGTGAGGCACTTTATTGCATCCATCTCCTCTGTAGCTTTTCCCCTTTATTTGTGCTTTTTAGTTTTTTTAAATCTCTTCTTGTTTCCGTTCCTCGTCCTCAGCATCGGAGATAACTCGTGGTCAAATGTACCAGCCTGCGTCCGGATACCTTCCACCACCTGCAATGTCACGTTCACCAAAGCTAAGGGCGATCACGGCTGCGTCCGGCTGCGTGTGCGAGCCGAGAGTCGAGGCCTGAAATCCAGTCTGGAGGAAGCCTGCAGCCAACCCGGTAAGAAACCGAAGCCCATGTGAACGGGGAAGTGTGATAATGTTGCGTTTACACTGGCAGCGGTTTAGGTCATGCGCTGGCAGGGTTCCCACACATCCTGGAAAACCTTGACATTTAAAGACGAGTCATAGAAACACCTGGAAATTTGCCTAAAATTACAAAAAGCTCTGTAAATAATCTGTTTGTTGTAATTTAGCTCGCCTTTGTAAACCCGGGTGCATATTTAGTTTTAAACTAGTTGGTAGCTGTGCCGGTTCCTACGCATCCTGGAAAACATGGAAAACCGGTGAATTTAGAGACTAGTTTTCCTGGAAATTAGCCTGGAAATAATTTATGTAAACCTGGGTGCATACTTTAAAGCTGGTTTAACAGACGTGGAGCGGAAGCAGGTGTGTTTGTTAACCAGACGTGAGGTGAAACGGACTTGCGGTGATCTTGTGAGGAACCTGAGACCCTCCCTCGTTAAAGGAGGAGCCATAAAAGAAAAGTTAAAGTCAGCGCTAGGCCTACCGGTACATTATAAGACTGAGCTGTCCTCAGTTGTCAAGAAAAACTCCTGGAAAATGATGAAAAGTGTGTTCTTTTGGTGTTTTCTTTACATACACTATTTATACACTAAATTTAGCACCAAGCAGAAACACATACTTCGCTTAAAGCAGTGAAACCCAGCGGCGTCTGAGCGGTCAGGAAGTGACTGATTTCAGACTCGCATTTTCTCTCCACTTATGGCCGAGAGTCGATGTATGTACAGTGTGTATACACGCTGTGTCCTCAAGTGCGATTCTAGGTGTTAACCAGCCTAACCACATGTGAACCACGTGGTGCGACGTGTTCAAGAAAAAACCCACAGCGAGGGTTCAAGAGTGCCGCCGCTGCAGCCTGAGAGGTGTCAGAGGGCCTCGCTGTCCTGATTCTGTGTGTTTGCTGTGCTCTTCCAGTGGACTCGTGCAGTCCTGATGTGAAAATGACGGCGCAGCCCGGCTCCCTGACCGTGCACCTGGGCAGGAACCACGACCTGGCTAAAGAATACGCGGACCACGCCAAACACAGGGTTTTCTACGGCAAGGAAGGGGAGCCACTGACGGTGAGAAACCGGCGTTAAAGTGTTCAAACCGGTTTGATATTCAGCCCGGACTGGACCGGTAATACAGGATTTCCTGTTGCACGTGACTCAAGTGGAACATAATGAAACTTAAAGCTCTGCTGAAATGAAAAATGTATTTTTAACTGTTTAAATGTTGAGTTTATTTCTGTCTGTTCTTGTCTTTCCAGTTTTTATTGAGTTGTACCAAGTTGTGTTGTGAGTTGCGTCAGATGTAAAGTAGCAGAGCTGCTATTTAAAAGCTAACACAGAAGCAAAATAAGAATAAACACACGTACTAGTGTCAAAATACAAAACAGAAAACCAAACTGAGTAACGAGAACCGTGTTGCCTTCATGAAACTCAAATTCAATCCCTCTTTTCCAAACCTTTCTGTAATCTAACAGAATAAAGGTTTCTTTCCATAATAAGTGTATCATAAACAGTGTAAATACAATAGTCAACTTCTTGTTTTAACCACTTTATACTGATGGCTCTCACAAATGTTAAAGTTGATGTTAAAGGAAACTTTACGTGCAGCAGAAAGTGAAAGGGTCAGTGTGAGACGTTGTCGTCGTTCACGTATGCATCTTCTAGAAAGGAGGAAGTGAGTTTGGTAATGTGTGACTTAACATTCAGCGCAGGAAACCACACTTGGTGAAATCTGCGGGAGCATTGCGATGATTGGACAAAATTGCGTTAATTGTTGCGCTCGCAGCTTCCTGGAGGAACTGCTGTTTTTCAGCCTGCGTTTGTATTGTTTTTTGCGTCTTCATCGTGATGGATTATGTGTAAATTTAATACTACTATTGATGTATGAAATGTGGAAGCCCAATATCATCAAGTTCAGATCAAAAAAAGGCCCCTAAATGCTTCCAGTACTTTGTTTTAAGTGGCTAATAGCCAATATTCCAGGGTTGGAAATATCAGCCAGTGTTGAGGTAAAAATACAACTCAAATGACATAAAAGTTAAGTAAGTAAAATTATTCACATTTTTGTTATAAATGATGTTTGCTGTGTTAAAACTGAATGTTTCGAGCAACATGAAGCAGAACAAAGCCACTGGGCCAGTCCCGGGAACACACTGTTGTATTGTTTTGTTGGTGTGTTGACTCGTGACTACATCTGTGGTTTTAACCCAAACGCCGCTCACTCTTGCAGGCCTATAAAGACAGCCTCTCTTCGGTGACCATCTACGGGCTGCAGGAGGGACAGCGTTACTGTGTGAAGCTGCAGTACAAGGTCATAGACAGCCTCGTCGGACTGCCCAGCTGTCCCAAGTGTGAGCTCATCCCGGAGTCAAGTAAGATCATTTTTGTAGTCGTTGGAAGCACAAATCAGTTTAATGGTTAACAGAGTCGATATTTGTATGGTACTGCATCTGCATCCATTCAATGATCTATTAAATCTGGAATATCTGACCATAAGTCAGAAAACATTGAGAAGGTTTCTCATTATTTTGAGATATTAAGTCATTATTTGGAGTTTCTCGTTATTCTCATCAGTACACAAAACCAATTGAGTCTTACACAACAGTAGCTTTAATTATTTATAGTTGAACATGGGAAGCTTTCATTATAGAGGAGACTTAAGAGTGAGATATTAGGTGTGGTACAAAATAATATAAATCACATTAGATTTACTCTTTTATTCTGTTGAGTTAATTAAAGTTAATGTACTCATTCTACCACATTACAATGTTAATACAAACTCAATACTTCCTGTATCTGTTTCAAATTAAAAGTCCTCTAGGGCTTCAGTGGACAGAAACTTAATTTCTTAACAAGGCTTTTATTTTGAAAATTTGCAGGAAAGTCATGTTTATTGGTGAGGCGAGATTCGTTCGGGGTATTTTTAGTGCGGTATTCCTTTAATGTTCTTCAGCCTGAATACCAGCAGTACAAATGCTTCTGGAAGTGTGTAATCTGATGTGTTTTAATGACTCGGTTGCAAACTTTTGTAGTTTTAAAGCTCATAAATCCACAACATGACTATTTATTTGTGTTTTTACAGAAAAGTCAAACCAGGCACATATCATTGTACCGGTGGTGATTGTCCTCGTCCTGGTCATTCTGACGCCGGCGGTAGCGTACGTCCTCATCTACCACTGCAAGGATTTCAAAAAGCTGCTGCGGCCGGCTGAGAACATACCCCTTGTGAGCACAGACACACTCTCCATCCACACTGTATTATCCAACAGTATCCTGCACAAAAAGTGATGAATCTGTCCACGCTTTCATGAAACGGGAAGTCGGTGGAGACACTTTTGTTGTTTTCCAATGCGTCAGTTCATCACGGCATTGTTTTTGTGGACTTTCCTACCACTAATGCTCAGCTCTTTGAGAGTTTATATCTAAACCATATTCTAGAAGTGGAGAAACTGACATCCCACATAATGCAACCACAAAGGGTCTCTTGTGATTGAGGCGTTTTTTATGGAGCGTTTTTATTCTATTTGTGCTTTTTAAACTCATTATAAATGAGAATATTAAGCTCCATATAAACACAGCTAGTGAAAGCATTCATACAGTTTTAGTTTCACTGTCTTAGATTATCAAACTGATTCCAAACAGCCGACACAACGTGACACATTTCCTGCTGGGGACAGGAAGTTCTTCAGGTTTTATTTTAATAAAGTTTTTCTTGTCTCCTCTAGTTCCTCACGGACTCGTGGTTTTATACGCATCACCTCGTCCCCATCAGTAGCCCCAGCGAAGAGAACTGGGACGTCATTTCCCGCATTACCACGGAGTAGTTCCTCCTCCTCTTCCTCTTGCACTACGCCTCCTCTGTGTGGGGATCAGACTCCTTGAGGATCGACTGCAACCTGCATGCTCTGCTTCTCCCCCCCCAAGCCCAGACTCTCTGCCACTGCCATGGACTTAAACTCAAGGAGGAAAAGTGATTTTTAAAGTGCAACTGCTGGGAGGAGAAAGTCTAATCGGATCTACATTTATCTTTAACTCCAGGAGGGGGAAAAAAATCAAACGGAATAATGACAAGGCCGAAGCGTCGGCCAGACCACTCGAGTTAATAAGCTCCGCTCTGCGTTCTTAACCCCCCAACAGTCATCGCAAATGTATAATCTATCCACTGAGGTCCTCAAAGGTTTTCACAGAGATGTATTTGCCAAATTGAGCTCGAAATTTGTAATAAGTGCACTTGTCGCCCTACGGAGAATCAGGAACTCATACTTGACACTAGTTTTATGGAAGAAAGCTTCTTCCATTTGAGCCAAGACTTACTGCTGACTCCTAATAAAACAAATTACACTATGTCGCCCTTTTTATAGCTTTGTATAGAGCGCGCCACTTCCCATTTCTATGCACTTTCTAATAACGTCCCCATTTGTGCTCTTATAGGCATTAATGTACACCTGCAGCATTAATTAGATCATGAAAAACAACCCACAATCACGCAACCACGAACCAGTAGAAGACCGAAGGAGGTTTGATAACCTCCAAATCCTCGAGATTGTTGTAATCTGGGAGCCAGAACCGGATCTCGAGGGCTAGTTTGGTGTCATATATTAATTTTTAAAATAACGTGTTAAAAAATGAATGTAATGACCTGATTTAGTCACATTTTACACTTAATGATGGGCTTAGGTTAATTAAAAAAAGAAAATTATACTTTGTTTTTACATGTTTCTATCCAGTGTTTTAGTAATGTGCCATAATTGTATTTTTGAGTTGTATTAATTTGGGGCCTTTTCAATGCAAATATAGATATATCTATCAGCCGTGATTATTTCTCTAGATCTGCCCCCGTCTGAGAGGAAATGTTGTCAACTGCCGTTTTCCGTCGTAGCACGTTTTACGATACTAATTTAATGATGATAATCTCTATATGTGAACAGCGGCCTGTTAGACGCTAACAGAAATATCGGTAGTGATCCTGAATGTGTCAGAACAACCAGCAAGGAATCAACACTGTAACATCACACAGTCTGGTTGTTAACTTCCAACTCCACTGAAACTAATCCTGGTGGACTGATCGATACGATGGATGATGGATAACGTTTACAGTTACTGATTAATCGAGTCTTCATCCCCAGAGTCAGAGTCCTGGTCAGAGCCGCTGGACATCAGCCGGCCTCCGTCAAAGGCTCCCAGTCCAGGTACAGACAGCTAACGGGACTGCTAACTAGTTAGCAGCTAGTACGGTTAGCGTTTGCTACAATGCACGAGTGACACAAACCTGAACGGAGTTTGACGTTGTTTTTGTGACTTGTTTCGACTATTAGGGGGCAGCTCTTAGTTATGTCTTCATAGTAGCTTTTAAAGCACACTGAACCCTCTTCTGGCTCCAGTTGGACGGACGTTTAGCAGCTCTGTTTTCCGCTAAACGTCCAACCAGTCGGGACTTTCTACTTGCCATTTGTCTGCCTTACTGTGATTCTAACTCAGTGATTCTCAAACTACAGGAGGAACATAAGGAGTGGGACAACGCTTAATGAATGTATGTGGGTAAAATCAAGAGTTTGCTGATGATGGTGTGTTTTAAAGCACTAAAACTCAACTTTTTAATTAGCTTTGGTTCCTCTATCATTGTTAGTGATTGGTATAAAATTGCAACGGGGTGGGACATGAACGTTTTCGGCTTCTGGAGCTTCCAGAAAAAGTTTGGGAACCACTGACCTGCATAAAAACAAGTGTTTCTGTCTTTAACTTTATTTAGTGCTGTGGATCTACAATCATGTGTGTCAGTGAGTTGAATGGAGCAGTCCAGAAATAGTTTTTCCAGGTCTGAAACTAACACACAATAAATATGAATTCACTTTCACTACAGTCATCCACTTGTGTCTTTTTAAAGTAAATCTAAATATCAGTTCACCTAAATCTAGGGCTGTAACTTATTCATTATTTTTATAATCTATTGGTTGTTTGCTCCATAAAATGTCAGAAAATGTCCATCAAATATCTTGTTTGGTCCAAAGATATTCAGTTACTAAAGAAACCAGAAAATATTCACACTTGAGGAGCTCAAATGTGTAAAATGTGACATAAGAATTTTGATTTAAATTAAAATGTGAGGCTAGATCTTTACTGTATTCTTAAAAATCGACCATTTTGCATATAATGAGAACTTAAAAAAGGTCCCAGTGTCGAGGATTTAGTGGTGTCTAACGCTCAAAGGAAGGGGGCGGTTATGATTTTCCGACATGTTCGAAAGGGCGAGCTGTATTCAGTTGGTTGCAATCTGCAACGTCACAGCTAGATGGCACTTAATCCTACACACTGCTCCTTCAAAAACCCACAACAAGGAACTTTTGTGTTGTTTCCACTGCCTCGTTCCATTGATTTCAAGGGGAATCTGAAATCAAAAATGAAAAGGATTTACTTTATAGAAAACTGGCAATCTTCTCTCTGTGGTCTTATGTTGGTCATATAGAGGTTTCAGTATTAAATTGAGTTAACTAAGTAAACTTAAAGTAATAATGGTAACAGTATTCCTACACTGTGGTATTACTTTTATATATTTAGTTTCTTCTATGAAGACTTATTATGACTCACAGAGCACGACAAAGTTATGACGTCTTCTTGTAGCTTTGCTTGAAAAGTTAAACAACAAAAATAAAAATACAGAAAATAACTTTTTTAACGTGTGTAGGAAAATATTACAGCTATCTAGTCAAGACTTAACGCTGCCGGTATTATCGCTGCATCTACTGGATTTTTGGGGCTGTTGCAGCCTAAAATGCTTTATTTCCTTACAGTTTTTCTATTCATTTCTTAACAAGGCTTTTATTGTGAAAAATTTGCAGGAACATCATGTCAAAAACTGGTGTTTTTGTTGTTTTCAAAAGAAAAAAAAGCGATGTTTTTAGTTTAGCCTTTTTTTTGCAAAGAAATTGCATAATGAATTAAAAAACGACGGGAGGGACAGGAAAAAAAGGATTCTGCAAGTTATTGTAATGAGAAACTTTCTCAAAATAATGACTTAGTGATACTGAGTCATTATTTTGATAAAGTTTCTTATAATAACTTACAGAATGTTTTCTTAGGCAGAAATGGACTTCCATAAAAACAGAAGGCAACTTGTTCCAGTGAGAAAAATCAGCTGACTGTGTGTTTACTGTAATAACTTCATGGAGGAAACAAATGTTTTTTTAAAAAAAAGATTGTCCAGCACTTCTCCAAATAAAACTGTTTTCTTTATTTTTCACATGTTCAAAGCTCTTGACAAGTCAGACAGTCGATTTAAAAATTTGTCAGGAAGACGGGGAAGTAACCTCGATTTCCCACTTCCCCCGTCTTATTTTTACTCCATGCAAGTCAAAGCTTTTAGGGTACAAGATCTTCAGAAAAACCTGTTTTCATGGGTCTACATGTGAAAGCAAGGAGTGTAAAGTCCTTACAGTTTAATACTGTTACCGCAGCAGCCTCTTCGGCAGCTTCACAACATTTGTTCTATACTTAAATACTTAAAATGGCTAAAACGCAAAATATGCTGAATACTTACATCTCACTTTACAGGACAGTTTCTGGTAGAAACAAAGAGAAAGTACAAGAGGACAAAACGGACAAAAAAAAAACAACACACTTCCTCCTGAGGCAGAACGACAGCAACTAATCTGTCAACAGGAAACTGATCCTAACACGAATCAGACCTATGAAAAGAAAACGCTCATCTAAAAAGACATTAGAATCCAGTGCATGTGTCCATAAACTAACCTACAATAACGAGCAGCTTCGGTGGCGAGAGCGGCGAGGGCTTCGTTCCCTCACGTCCACTTTTAAAAAACGTATTTATAATCAGTGAATCAGCCCGTCCTAACGCAAAAAGATTTCCCTTTTCGGACAGTTAACTCACACTGTGACCCCCCCACCCTCTGAATGAATAAATACCACATTCCCTCTTTTCTTAAAATACAAACAGTTTTAAAAGTATTTTCTCAAGAACAGCACAGATAAACAAAATAAGAACTATTGTTTGTTTGTTTGTTTGTGTGTGTGTGTGTGGGGGTGGAGCAGCAATAATAGCAATTTAAAAAGCAAATGCAGATTATAAAACATTCTGTGAATTCATGTGTGTTTGTGTGTTTGGGGGGGAGGTTATAAAACATGTTGACTGTGTGTGTGTGTGTGTGTGTGTGTGTGTCATCAGTAATAAGACGGACCCTTTAACCCCATAAATCTTCAGTCCGGCCGAACTTGTAGATCAGAGTGCTGCAGGAAGGAGAAGAATAAGAAAACAACATCAAGAAGAGCTTCGGTTGGTCCTTTGAAAAGTGAAACCTTTGATATTTTTACACCATTATGTGTCATTATACCAAAAAAAATTACTAGTTTCAAAACTATGTTGAAAAGACAAGATGGTTAAAAGATAAAAGTGACAGAAGTACAGACTCAGTGGATAAAAGGACGTTTTGAAGCTGCTGTTTCTGTGCAAAGCTTCAAAATGGGTCGAGGATTCTTCTGTTTTGTATTTTATGTGGTTTTCACCACGTTACGTCTGCGATATTCATAATAGTATGTATATATAATAATCCAATGCATTAAATCTGAAGTAAAGAGCCTGTCTTGAAGCTGTAATGTTTAGAAAAAAGGAAGTAAAAGTAAAAAAGTTGTCTAAAAAAATAAATACTCCATCTCGCATCTTAAGTTACTTATTATTAGCAAAATGCTAGCTAACTAGGTGGCTAATTTATTTTAATCATTAGCGAGTTGTTAAATGATTAGTGTTATAATTAGTGATAATTAGCTAGCCAATAAATAATGGAGCTAACTGGCTAGCACTGGCTAACTTAATATCCATCTCTTTTGTCTTTCACAGAGGAGCTGATGTTCACTGCTTTAAAACCTGATCAATAAAATGTAAAAGCTAATATAAAGGGATGTTTTTAAGCTCTAATTTACAGAGGGTGGATTTTTGGGGTAAATTAAAATGTAAATGATTTAATATTTGACTGCTGCTTACAGTATTCATGTTATACTCACCTAAAAAAGATGAAGGCATTCTGAAAGAAGACAGCCAGCCCGGGCGCCACTTCTTTCTCTAAAATAAAAGTGAAACCAGGAGCGAGATTGTAGTCAGTAACAACGGTAATTAAAGGAGGGGGATTTCTGAAACTGTAAACTGTTCTGTATGCTCGACTGAGTCGTAATCAACAGCCTGTGACTCTGTTCGGCTCCTCCAGGGAAGGGAAGTCACTTGATAACCCGAATAGTACACATGGTGAAAATGGTGTCTGGTGTGAGGCAATGAGAATGAGCCCCGCCCTAAAGCATACCCTGCTTTATGGTCTGCTTTACTCTGAATGGGACCATCAGTTACTAAATGAACATCATGCTGTATGGAAGAAGACTGAAACTACAGACTGAGACTCGTTCTTTTAACTCTGTATTTCATATTTCTTGCTTTCATAAAACTATTGTTGATTCACCGTCTTAACTAGCTGCCGCCATTAGTATGCTCATAAAGGACACAGTGAGAGCGTTAACAGTTATCATTTAAATACAGCGTATTATTCAAACGTGGCCTTTGTCAGCAGGAGAATGAGATGGAGGTCATTGGAGATAATTACTCATTAACTCTCCAAACTACAGTCACAGAATATCATTTAATACGTTTTGTGTTTGTCTCTTTTAAAAATGAGCCGGTAGCTCCTTAAAAGCTGCCACATGTTTGTGCTTTAATCTGTCTTTATTGCTGAAAACATCATTATAATTATATTGTCATTTGAATTTAAAGAAACCTTTACGTTCATACTACTTTAAAGCAAAGCACCAATATTACTCAGTTCAAGAAGAGACACACGTGTAGGGTTTTTTATATTAATGTGTGCGTATATAAATAGTTATAGGAATAAATAAGCGGATACTTCCTCCTTTTCCAACATGGTAAGATATATTTTGTCTTGTTTTTGATTGGGTTTAATGTTTAAGAGCTGAGACAAACTCAGATCGACTGGATTCAGGAGATTTTGATTTATAGAAACCAGTTTTTTTCCTTTACTGATGAACACGGCGACGGCTCAGATCACCTCTCGCTCTCTCTGTAAACCAGCGACCCGATGGTGCTGCAGAGCCTCACGTTTGACATATTGAACTAGAATCTGTCCGTAAAGCGCGTTAACGCTGCTGTGTGAGAGAACCAGATAGCGACAGTGACGATTGAAGCCCCCTCGCCTCCTCCAGTCTGAGCGAGGAAAATGGATTTCTCAGTGATTTTTATGAAAAAGGTTCAAGTTGTTTCTTTGGTTGTCTGTCAGCGTAATAAGTAGAAAAGGTCACCGGTGTGAGCTGCACAGGTCTAATAATAATAGTTACTTTGCCAACAACTAACATCACACTGAATTAGGGCCGGCAGGAAGTGGCGATAATGAGACGGTGAGAAAATGTGGCGTTCAAGCGGAGAGGGAGACACTCACTCGGCACCACGTAGCCACCGAACAGGATCCAGATGGAGGCGATGAGCGAGCCAAACATCATCATGAAGCCGATGAACAGCCACAGACGAGCTCCTGCGAGGACAAAGACACGCTGATCACTTTCATTAGCCCATCAGCTGCTCTTTCTGACAGCCGAACACGCCCACAGCGCCACGAGTCATCGCATACAGCGCTGGCAACGAGGCCCGGTACAAACAGTGGGTCGGAAAACAGAACCACCGCAGTGCTTTGTGGGTATTAAAGCAATATAAACTGACTCAAAATGATCCATTAATGATGTTTTTAAACAGTCTTTGTACAGATGCTGCCCTGAGGACGTGACACGATTAATCCTTACACACATTTTTTTGAATTTCAGTACCTGGGAGAGCACAGAGAGAAAGTGGTAACACTTCTTCTGGTCAAACAGAAATATCAGAAATATAAGCCATGCTTGATTAATTAAGTGCCCTGCAGCCAGCGCTGAAGATGAAGTCAGACATGGACATCAAGAGGTTTTTTATTAGGTTAATATGCTGTGAAAAAGGTTTTTACAAATTAAATTCTATATTTTTTAATCACAGAGACAGCATAAAGTATGTTAACATGCAAAAGTGCTTTTTAAAATGTAGCTTTGGTGGATTTGGAACCAGTTATAAAATAAAATATTGTATAAAAGGCCAGTGTTTCTTAATTATTTCTAGAACTGGCTGAAAATGCAGCTTGAATGTTAAATTATTAAACATTTTAAAGTTATTTGTTTAAGAAAAGCAGCTTCATATCGGTGCAAAATCCGTCTCTTTCATTCCAGCTCTAAATCTTTCCCCTCTAAAAATCGGTATCGGCCCTTTTGGAAAACCCTTCACTGCACTCATTACCTGCCACAAAAACCTCACAGAAGAAGAAGCAATACAGCTGAAAAAACTCTGACAAAGAAGTGAAAAAGAAATTCGAAACAGGGACTAAAAATACCGTCAGTATCAGGAAGAATATAGTTTATTGGCATTAAACAAGCTGCTCACAACACGTGGTGCTTTTACAGTTACACAGCGCTCTAATGTACTTCTTAATATTGGCTTTTTTTCATGTATTGTTTTAGCATTAATACTTAATCACACAACAGCTAACAGCGATGGGGCAGCAGTATAGTCTGGTGTCACTCAATCGGGCTGTTCTGTTGAACCTCCTCAGCATTTTAATTAGCTCTGATGATAATTAAAGCAACAGGAGGCCACTGCAAATGTAAGCGGCAGACGTGGATGTGAGTCTGGTTGGAGAGGATGAACTTTAAAGCGACTTTCGGCAGTGCGACGGTTTGCTATTACAACAACAACAGCAGAGTTACAGAGGATCTTTTTTATATTGCAGCTGTTTTGAGGTCATTTTAAAAGCTGCAGCAGATGTTTGTTGAGAAGGGATTTACATGCAAGCAGCATTGTGCTAAAAGAAAGAAATTAAAAAGCTATCAGCTGCAGTGCAATTAACTCTTAATAAACAACGGACTGTAAAGACAAAACACACACTTAGAGAAACACACCTGTCCTGCCAAGGCAGCCCTCGCCGTATGTGTCTCCTCTCACCTGGCCGTTAGAAACCGCATTGATCCTGAAAATAAAGACAGTCAACAGTTAGGTTAAAGAGTAAAGATTCACTAACAGGAAAACAAATTACTACATTAGTTTATACTTTCTCTTTATAGATTTGACATTTTATTGAACCATACATTGATTAAAAAGCCACTGACCAAAGTGGAAATGTCTAAAATACATTTAACTGCAATGGTATTTAGTCTTCATTTGTCTCCATAACGCTGGATTTGGTGTGAATACGGCCAAAGTCTCTCTTTATTGTTCTTTTACTTTGCTACAGTTTAGGTGTAAAATCATAAAATTGTTGGGAAATAATATCACTCAGTCAGCCGGCTGTCCCTGACACGACTTAGACGTTTTTCCGTGTTTAATGTTTTAGATAGACTGATAGATATACTTTATTGATCCCAAGCTGGGAAATTGCAGTGTTCATTTTGATGTTTAGCCGGCTGAACTTTGCTTTAGCGTGTTGTTAAAGTGGCTGCTGCTAATGTTGTAATATTGTTGAGAGAAACTGTGTGAAACCTCATTTAAAGCCAGATAATTAACGATGTTTTCCCCCAAAGGTTGGGTGCCGTTATCAGTTCCCAACATTTTCCCTTAAGGGATCCCTTTATTAAACTGACTCAGTGACTCATTTTATGGATATTTAATATATTAAAAACAGTACAATGAACCCAAACAGTGAACTCAGTAACTGCAGTTTGTGTAAAAACGAGTTAATTTTGAGCAGATTATTTACTTTTCATACAATTCTCCGTCTGTATTATGTATGTATTTTCTGGACTTTGGGAAGGATCACTTGTTTTGTTTTATTTCTGCAGATCTACGTGGGGGTCACCAGCACTTACATGAAGAACGCTATGGTGGAGAAGACGCCGCATGTGTGGAAGGCGTGGTTCATCTGCTCCTGGGAAGGATACGTCACCGCTGCGTCAATCATGATCCACCAGCCTGTGAAGAACTGTGGGATAAAAAAAGAGATTTTAGGGTTCTCCGTTAGCTGACTCGCTCTGATTTATGGCGTGTTGGTGGAAGCTGTACAGGCAGGCGGATGGTGACAGATGGCTCCTTATGTGAGGCGTAGGGGAAGACACAGAGACAATGCTGGCTCTATGGCGGTCAGGAAAAACATTAAATTAAGGAAGCAGATCCAAATCTTCTCATAAAACTGGAACAGATGATTGAGTCAAGCTTCAGAAGAATACTTATCCTTCAGAGAGTATGACGCGAGAAATAATGTACTGACTCAACTTATCACAAACTTCCTTTTTTTATGTGCATACAGTTACTGTGAGACAGCATCATCAACCACTGACTCACTGACGGGTTTCCTCTAAATGAAAATGTTGGAATATCCCTTTTTAACTTGCTGTTTACTGCCGAGATGCTGCGACATTAACGTGAATCAGCCATATTCACTCACCTCATTTTAACCAGAGAAATCCCTTTCACCCACCCACACACACACACATACACACATACACACACACAGTGAACCTAAACTTATCCAGACGTTACTTAGAGCGGTGGTTGTCAGGCTCGGGGTCGCCAGATGATTTCAGGTTGACTGCGAAGGTTATTTCAAAAAATCTAATGTCTGTCTGCGGGCTACGACGGAGCGTTAGGGCCAGACTTGTTCGGGAAATTACGAAAATTAAAGTCATAATATTACGAGAATAAAGTCATAAGATTACATCTACAAGAATAAAGTCGTAATATTGCGAGAATGAAGTCATAATATGGCAAGAAAAAAGACTTAATATAGCGATAATAAGCTTTTTTCTCATTAAAACGACTTTATTCTCGTATTATTACGACTTTATTCTGGTAATTTCCAAAATTTTACTTATTTATTTATTTTTCCTCTTAGTATGGCCCTAATACTCCGTCGCAGCGGGCAAAGCAACGTTCTTCCTATGTGAGTTTTGGTAGCTTTCATGGCCAAATCAGCAGGACCGGACATTAAGAACAGACTTTATAATGTCTGATTGAGCCTTCTGATGTGATCACAGCAGGTCATTAGAGAAGGAACTGGATCCAGGATGACTCAAGCTACTGCAACTCAACACTCGTAATTACCGACAAAGGCTGTATAACATATCATTCACACTAAGTATGACTTCAGTCTGTAGTGTGTCTCAATGCCCAGATGGATACTAGATTATCAAGAATATAAATATAGAGTATACAGTGTGAGCTTACTGCCCAACTGACCACAGTTTTAGACCGTTTTTTTAAACTATTTTTGTGCGTTATTTCACCACAAAATGCCTTTCAGAGAATATCTGAATCGAGGAATCAACTGTGTAGATTGCAAATAATTGCAAGTTAATCTGTTTTTTAATCTGCTTTAGATAAACTTTATAAGATAACTTACAGCCAGAGACAAACGCATAGATAGCAACATCCTTCCTCAGCTCAGCAGCCTCCTCATCTGCTTCTCAGTGAAATAAACCATCCTAATACTGCATCTGTGATATTAATATACATTCTTTATTCTTAACAGTAGCCTTTAATGTATAGTACACACTAATGATTGAGTATAAAGTCCTCAGAGCCTAACAGTCACTATTTTTTATAACACAACAAGATTGAAGACAAATTATGACTGAAAAAGAGAATCAACTATGCAAAACATTACAGATTTTCTTTGTAAAAGTGAAACTGAAAATACAACCCTGTGGGGAAATGGCCTCATATCTCAAGTCTTCAACTTCTGCTGCCATGTGTTTGTGCCTTGTTACAGTAGGCAATAAGAGGAGAAAGCGCCCTCTGCTGTTTCAAAAGAGTATCGCAATCTCACTACGTTACATTCCTGTAACGGTCCCCGGTCCTCTCCACACGTCGGCTGTGGTTCAGTTTGGTTATTTGCTAACAGAAAAGAAGACAAAGGCGAAGACATTTAACTGTTTTAATGTTGTTCGGGTGTACAGTTATTATTCAAATGTGTGTGTATGGCATGCGAGCTAATAAAAGAGTTTCAGATTATTATCGACTCAAACAAACCTCGGAGGAAATTAAACAAACTCATTTCTTGCTGTCAGGGTGTTAATTTCTGTCTGGATCACAACACTAAAGCTCCAAAGTGAACCAACTTCACCAAGAGGATCAATCCAGTGTTTCTGCAGATTTCGACAGGTCAAATTTCTTTTACAGACCATTCTGAATGTAATTTAAAACCTGTTTCACATCCACACTGCCAAATACATACAAAGGATATGACAGAAAATCAATGCTGGTTTCGATTTGAAGTTGTTACAGCGCGATCAATACAATTCTTTCCTCAAAAACACATTTAAAAGAGAAACTGAAAAACCATTAATCCAATAAATGTATAACTTTTTTTTAAAGGCCTAAAATTCTGATTATTGGATTTTAGACGTTTTAATAATCAAACAGCAATCAGTGGTGGAGAAACTGCGCTCAACTTTATTTCTAATTTGTAAAACTTTTGCCAGAACAATCGTGACATTACATTTTCCTATCGTCTCATGCCTGAGCGCCACTGTGTCAACGGACTGATTACATTACATGATTACACAGCTGAAGCCTCTGCAGTAACTACAACAGCTGAGAGGATCATCAGGATGTCCCCAGCATCATTAAAAAGGACTCCTTCTACCCCTCTTACACCACTTTTATTCACAGAAACTCTTCTGTAATTTAATGCACGTATACCATGGGTCTCAAACTCGCGGATATTTTATGGCCCCCTACTTGAGATCAAAGGTAAGTGTTAGTGCGGCCTACGCTTTTTTCTCACGCGCACCTCTTTGCAAAGTCGTTGCCCTGGGCGTTTTATATATTTTTTATCACTTATGGGCTACCATAGCTCAGGCTCGCGACAGCTTCCGGTGGTGTTTGTTGACAAGTTAACAGTCACTTGGTTGAAACGTGATTCCGGAGCGACACCAAGGAAAATATATCCTGTCACCCAGTGCAAGGTACAGAGGACTTAGGAAGTGGGCGGACTCAACAAGAGTAATCAGTGACCTAATAAAGACAGCAGAGGGCAAGAACAAAAGCCAAGTGGTGGTTAGAACCTGAATATCATAAAGAAGAAGTTATAGATTATAATTACAGGAGTAATAAAGAGAAGGAAAAAGGACGGATATGTGCAAGAAGAAAACAAATTTACAATACAACAATTTAATCAAAAAGAGCAAGAAATTAAAAGATATAAAACATGAGACAATGCGCTTGATGTTAAGAATTAAGACAGGTGGAGTAACATGGACATCACTTTCTTTATGAATGTGAAAGGTATAAACACCTGAGAGAGAACACGATTCATACGTTTAATAATGATAAGAAAAATACTTGAAACCCTTTTTTGTGGAATACTTGATGCGGCCGAGCCTCGACCAGACGCCAGCGGCCCCCAGGTAGGTTGAGTTTGAGACTGATGTATACACTTTAACGTCTAGATGCTTTTATAGTTAGTTGAGTTAGATTGAATTCTCACTATATTTTTATAGTAATAATGACAAACACTTCAGCTGATATCATTCATCTTCTGTCTAAATCAATCATTCAGTCGTCCTCACTCACCAGGACTCCAGCGACGATAGAGGCCACCGCGTTCCTCCTCTCCCCCCAGTCGATGCATTCCCACTCTGGCCAGCGGAAGTTATCCAGAAACCCCGCCATCTGAAAGTCCTCTTCGAGTCCACCTCCTCCTTCTTTTTCCTCTGATTCGTCTCTGCACAGCGGAACCGGTCCTCCTTCCTGAGTCCGTACGTGTCAACACCCGATTCCTCTGTTCTTGTCCTCTGACGTCTGGGCGGGGATCAGTGGCCGTCAACGCGTCCTGCAGTGGATGCATTCACGTCTTATTAACATCGTCTACTGCGTACAGATGTGTAACAGTTGTTTCTCAGACGTGGAAACAGATCTCAGTCTGCCAGGTGTGAGGGAGGTTTCTGAGGCACTAACCCTACACGCAACCAAGCTCCTACATTTTGGTGGCCAAAGTACATTTTTGGTGGCCACAAATAGAAACGTTTGTACAAAACAAGTTGAGGAAACTCCTAAATTTAAGTTATTTAAAAGAAGGGGAGGAATCAGGATGTTTGTGGTATTGTGAAGTTGCTGTTTCTATTCAATTAAAGGCAATAAAAGCCCCCCAAAATATAAAAAGGGGCAACCTACACGTAATACTTGATGACTTGGTTAATGTTAAACGCTGCTTATACGGACTATTGTGCCAGTTATTCATAGATTTGCTGGTTTGTTTATCACAACGCATATTTGGTTCAGGCAGCATGACCTTTATCCAACTCTTAATTTCTCAGTTCAGCATTAAATCCATCAAACAAACAACTCTTGATCAGTTCATTTACAGACTTCATTCGTGAACCAGACTCCCCGTGCACCGCCAACCACAGTCAGGTGCAGGTAGGTCGCAGTGCCTTGTAGTAAAACATCCAAATTAACCACCGCACACCGGCTGCAGCTTCCTCAGGTTCAACTGCTTACATACTTAATTATTACTTTATTTATGGTCTTCCTGTCTGCAACAAGTCACACTGCACATTCCTGCACAGTGCAGCTCTTCATTCATTTATTAAACGGTCACATTGTACATGGTCTCTCTTTTTATTGTCTCTATTATTATCTTTAATTAGATTTTCCATCTTTTATGCACCAGTTTACCAAGACAATAAACCTGATTCTGACTGGTGATCACATTAAGTGAAGCCGTAGTGAGCACAACTACACGTGAAACACTTATAAAAGATCCAAATTAAGTGACTATATATATTTAAATATATTATTTATATACTGTCACAATGTGCCGAATTAAAGATTAAACGCTACTCAGCTCATATCAGATTAAAGTTTTAACCAGGCACTGACCCTAACTGATTAAAATGTTAGAATATTTTTAACTGCTGTTTTATTAAAGGGAGTCTGGCACCAACACGCCAGAATCAGCTAACAGCCAGATTACGCTAGCTCTAACGGGAGCCCAGCAGCACTATAGTTTACTTCACTCGTCTGTTCGGGGTTATATAGTAGAGAATAATAGATCCCCGCTCTATTAATGCTTTAATAACCCTCACACATAAACCTATAACTGTGTTAAAAGCTGTATTAACACTGGGGAGCTAACGGCGGCTAACACAGCGCTCCCCGTCCAGCTGCTTGTTTACAACGATAACGAGGCGAGCAGACATCAGCCCCTAACGACACAGCACCGGAGGCGAGTTTATAATAATGTAACAACAATAATATGAACCTTGTCCGCAGCCAGATGTTGCTTTCACTTTCTATTCACAGGCTGCAGCTGGCGCCTCGTCCTTCCTCTTCTTCTACCGTTTATTTTCCGCCGTCGTCGTTGTCGTCGTCGTCTTCTTCGTCGTGACGTTTTAAAATAGCTGGCAAACGACGCAATGACGCAATACCGCCACGACCTCCGAGACGGTTTCTACTAATTACAGTCTGATTGATCCAGTTTACGTTTTTATTATGTATTTATTTATTTATTTATTTAATTAATTAATTAATTCAATTAATTTAGTTTTAATTATAATTATTATTATTTTATTTATTAATGTGATGGTTATATGTATTGATATTCAACTTACTTTTAATATTTCTTTGATTTATCTTGTTTTTAACTCTAACTATTATTTATATTAATACTTTTATATTATTTTTGTAGTTATCAGCTTTCTTATATTATAATTTCGAGTGTAATTGCTGTTGTACAGTTCCTATTTTCATTCTAATTTTTTATTCTATATACTTAATTTTCCCCTTCTGGTGATCAATGAAGGTTTATCTTATCTCATCACACATTTATCTGGTAGTTAATTTCCACATTTCTTCACATTTTGAAGTGCACCATTATTATTCTGCCCTGCCTTAAAATAACTTCATTATAAAAGACAAACTTTCTTTATTGCATCCTGCTCTCAGTAGATTCCTTATTTAACTGACTGCTCTCAGTAAGCTTTTATTAATTACACTGACAACGAAACTGGGTAAAATGGCTAAATGCAGGTTTTTTTGTTTTGTTTATTAAATATATATTTTCTACTATGCCCTTTCTAGCTTGCTAGCACTAGCACATTAATAGCTTGTCCTGTCTAGATAGAATAGAAAATACTTTATTTATCCCCGAAGGGAAATTATAGTTAAGAGTCAATTATTATTAAAAAGTCTTACTTACCTGTCTCAAAGAGAAGCAAAGAAGATGGTGCTCGCCACAACAGACTGATAGAACATCTGTAGCATCCTGTTGCAGACATTAAAGGACCTGAGCCTCCTCAGGAAGTAAAGCCGGCTCAGGCCCTTCTTATAAACAGCCTCTGTATTTGTGGACCAGTCCAGTTTACTGTCCAGTGTGACACCCAGGTACTTGTAGTTTGTTACTATGTCCACATCGGTCCAATTGATACTGACAGGAGAGGGCAGGGGCTTGTTCCTCCTGAAGTCCACCACCATATCCTTTGTCTTTGCCACATTCAGCTGCAGGTGGTTCTCCCCACACTACTTCACAAAGCGGTTGATCAGGTCCTTGTAATCAGCCTCTCTCCCACCTTCAACACATCCCACGATAACCGTGTCATCAGAGTATTTCTGCAAATGACACGACTCAGAGCAGTCCTTAAAGTCTGCAGTGTCGCTGGTGAAGAGGAAGGGAGACGGTACAGTTCCCTGGGGGGCCCCGATGTTACTAATCAGACGGTCAGACACACAGGTCGTTAATCTCACAAACTGTGGTCTGCCCGTCAGATAGTCATCGACCCATGTGATGAGGGGAGCACTCACCTGCATGTTCTCCAGTTTGGCCTTCAGCAGTCTGGGCTGGATGGTGTTGAAGGCGGTGGAGAAATCAAAGAACATGACGTGGACTGAGGTGTTGGGTCTGTCCAGTGAGGAGTAAGCCCTCTGCAGCAGGTAGATCATGGCATCATCAACCCCCACATGGGGCTGATATGCAAATGGTAAGATGGTACCTCCAGAAACCTGGAAAAGATGATTTATGATTTATTTGGCTACAGCTCACAAGTCTGGAGTTGCAGCTCGCTTCAGGGGAAGAGGATCTGGTTCTGGTCATTAGTGGAGTTCAGGCTAAAGGTTGAGGAGTTCACTACTGTCAGCAGGATGTTTCAAAGAACTTCGATTAAGGCACCGCTGGGATTCGAACCCAGGATCTCCTGTTTACTAGACAGGCACTTTAACCAACTAAGCCACGGCGCCATCTGCTGTCAAAACAAAGTGACACAACAAACAAAACCGACTCATTTTGGGATCTTGGGCAGGATGGGGAGAGGAAAAACAAGCACATTTGAGGCCTGTGAAAACACAAGGAACAACACAGTTTGAGGTTCAAAGGTCTAGGGGAGGTGAAACTGGACAAGATCCGAGCAACTAGTATATCACTAAGATTGATAGACAATGCCTAAACATAGCACTTAGGAGGATCACATTTTGAACGTCCCTGGGTGGGCTCGAACCACCATCCTCTCGGTTAACAGCCGAGCGCGCTGGCCGATTGCGCCACAGAGACACATTTCAACTAAGCCAGTCAAAATGTATTGTGTGCTTTTCCTTCAATGTCTGTTGAACAACACATTAGGACATTGCTCAGCAACAGCTTCATAGAAACCTCCCCTTCGACTGTTGGTTGCCCCAAGCAGTCATGCCTGACATACAATGGTTTGAGACTGTGACCCCACTGAGTTTCCACAAGGAACGCCAGTGGGCCAATGACTCTCAGTTTGTAATGGGTGTGTTCTTTTTCACAAGCTAGGAGGAGGCTCTGTCCATTGTATAAACTATCAATGGTACCTTCAGACACCTGGAGAAGCTCCTAAACTCCTTATGTGTTGAGCCTCTGAGTTTCAGCTCGTTTTAGTGGAAGAAGATCTGGTTCTGACTTCACTCTGACCCTCACTTCAGGCTAAAGATTTAGGAGTTCACTACTATGAGCAGGGTGTTTCAAATTACTCAAATCAGGCACCTCTGATGCCTCTCCCACCCTCAACACACCCCACGATAACCGTGTCATCAGAGTATTTCTGGAGATTACACGACTCAGAGCAGTACTTAAAGTCTGCAGTGTCGCTGGTGAAGAGGAAGGGAGACGGTACAGTTCCCTGGGGGGCCCCGATGTTACTAATCAGACGGTCAGACACACAGGTCGTTAATCTCACAAACTGTGGTCTGCCCGTCAGATAGTCATCGACCCATGTGATGAGGGGAGCACTCACCTGCATGTTCTCCAGTTTGGCCTTCAGCAGTCTGGGCTGGATGGTGTTGAAGGCGGTGGAGAAATCAAAGAACATGACGTGGACTGAGGTGTTGGGTCTGTCCAGTGAGGAGTAAGCCCTCTGCAGCAGGTAGATCATGGCATCATCAACCCCCACATGGGGCTGATATGCAAATGGTAAGATGGTACCTCCAGAAACCTGGAAAAGATGATTTATGATTTATTTGGCTACAGCTCACAAGTCTGGAGTTGCAGCTCGCTTCAGGGGAAGAGGATCTGGTTCTGGTCATTAGTGGAGTTCAGGCTAAAGGTTTAGGAGTTCACTACTGTCAGCAGGATGTTTCAAAGAACTTCGATTAAGGCACCGCTGGGATTCGAACCCAGGATCTCCTGTTTACTAGACAGGCACTTTAACCAACTAAGCCACGGCGCCATCTGCTGTCAAAACAAAGTGACACAACAAACAAAACCGACTCATTTTGGGATCTTGGGCAGGATGGGGAGAGGAAAAACAAGCACATTTGAGGCCTGTGAAAACACAAGGAACAACACAGTTTGAGGTTCAAAGGTCTAGGGGAGGTGAAACTGGACAAGATCGGAGCAACTAGTATATCACTAAGATTGATAGACAATGCCTAAACATAGCACTTAGGAGGATCACATTTTGAACGTCCCTGGGTGGGCTCGAACCACCATCCTCTCGGTTAACAGCCGAGCGCGCTGGCCGATTGCGCCACAGAGACACATTCAACTGAGCCAGTCAAAATGTATTGTGTGCTTTTCCTTCAATGTCTGTTGAACAACACATTAGGACATTGCTCAGCAACAGCTTCATAGAAACCTCCCCTTCGACTGTTGTTTGCCCCAAGCAGTCATGCCTGACATACAATGGTTTGAGACTGTGACCCCACTGAGTTTCCACAAGGAACGCCAGTGGGCCAATGACTCTCAGTTTGTAATGGGTGTGTTATTTTTCACAAGCTAGGAGGAGGCTCTGTCCATTGTATATACTATCAATGGTACCTTCAGACACCTGGAGAAGCTCCTAAACTCCTTATGTGTTGAGCCTCTGAGTTTCAGCTCGTTTTAGTGGAAGAAGATCTGGTTCTGACTTCACTCTGACCCTCACTTCAGGCTAAAGATTTAGGAGTTCACTACTATGAGCAGGGTGTTTCAAATTACTCAAATCAGGCATCTCTGATGCCTCTCCCACCCTCAACACACCCCACGATAACCGTGTCATCAGAGTATTTCTGCAGATGACACGACTCAGAGCAGTACTTAAAGTCTGCAGTGTCGCTGGTGAAGAGGAAGGGAGACGGTACAGTTCCCTGGGGGGCCCCGATGTTACTAATCAGACGGTCAGACACACAGGTCGTTAATCTCACAAACTGTGGTCTGCCCGTCAGATAGTCATCGACCCATGTGATGAGGGGAGCACTCACCTGCATGTTCTCCAGTTTGGCCTTCAGCAGTCTGGGCTGGATGGTGTTGAAGGCGGTGGAGAAATCAAAGAACATGACGTGGACTGAGGTGTTGGGTCTGTCCAGTGAGGAGTAAGCCCTCTGCAGCAGGTAGATCATGGCATCATCAACCCCCACATGGGGCTGATATGCAAATGGTAAAATGGTACCTTCAGAAACCTGGAAAAGCTCCTAAATTCCTGATTTAGTTGCAGCTCGTTTCAGGGGAAGAGGATCTGGTTCTGGTCATTAGTGGAGTTCAGGCTAAAGGTTTAGGAGTTCACTACTGTCAGCAGAATGTTTCAAAGAACTTTGATTAAGGCACCGCTGGGATTTGAACCCAGGATCTCCTGTTTACTAGACAGGCACTTTAACCAACTAAGCCACAGCGCCATCTGCTGTCAAAACAAAGTGACACAACAAACAAAACCGACTCATTTTGGGATCTTGGGCAGGATGGGGAGAGGAAAAACAAGCACATTTGAGGCCTGTGAAAACACAAGGAAAAACACAGTTTGAGGTTCAAAGGTCTAGGGGAGGTGAAATTGGAGCAACTAGTATATCACTAAGATTGATAGACAATGCCTAAACATAGCACTTAGGAGGACCACATTTTGAACGTCCCTGGGTGGGCTCGAACCACCATCCTCTCGGTTAACAGCCGAGCGCGCTGGCCGATTGCGCCACAGAGACACA